GCTTCACTCTGGATGAAATTCACTAAGGAAAGAAAATACTGAAGGAGTTATTTTGGAACTCTAATTTATATGCTTGTACCCATTCAGGAAGAACCAGTACATAAAAGAATCATGTGCCTCCACTCCCTGCTGGCTACTGAGTGCAGGCGTCTGGGCTCGTGATGAGTCTTCGTGCTGCAGCGTCTCGGCCTGTGACTGTGACACAGCAGAGGGGCAGCTGTGAGTCAGCGTAATGCAGCATCTCTTGTGGGAAGCACTTTATTAGTTTAGGTTCCTCTTCACAGTCGTATGTGATGGGAAGATGTTGCAACAGCCACGTTCACATAAATAGACATGCAGTTATTTCAGAATTTAATTTCACTTTCTATAATCCAACATGAACATGTAGACCAAACATTACAGTCTGATTTCTTGTAGTGGTCTGAGGGAGATCACTCATGCTGCCAGGTCTCAGAAGGTTATGTACGTCTTTGAATATGATTCTCTATCAGCAGATCACGCATGACAACCTTATTTATAATTGTTCAACGTGTGTTTTAATGTATCTCTGAGGAGCGCTGAGGTTTTATGCACACCCAGAAGAAAAAAAATAAATATCCATGATGTTTTGACCTTTGTGTTTCTCTCACACTGCAATCATAAGCCCCTGACCTGTGTGGCACCGTTTCTTCCCTTGGATATGAGCACATCAGCTGTTTTCATTTAGGCTTTCAGACAAGCTGCCGATGCTCTGTTCAGCGCCGGTACGGTGGCCTGCAGCAGCCAAGTGGGTGCGGCTGATTTTTACTGTTCTTTCGGCATCAGAGCCACGCGCTCAGACTGCAGGGCTCGGCAAGGGAGTGTTGTTGCTTTACTGTGGATGGCAAGAGGGAAAAGGGCTGAGGGGATCAGTTGTTCTCATAGCTGTTGTTTTTTATTAAATTATTTTAGTCTCACAGGCTCAATGTTTTAACTGAGCTTTTATTGGTTTTTTGCTTGTTTTATCTGTGTTTGTGACTTTATGTCAAATGTTTCTACATTATAAAAAAAACGAAATGATTCATTTTACTGTTGCAGTTTTAAGACCAGCTGTAATTTGTGTTCGGTGCTAATTAGCCGACATTAGCATGCTAACGTGTAAGACTGAGATGTAGGGCTGCAACTAATGCTAATCACAAACGGTTTTGATGTCAGTTAATCTGCCAGTTATTTTTTTTGTTTGTTTTAGTGTAGAATATGTCAGCCAGTGGTAAAAGATGCTTGTTTTAATTTGTATTCATGTAGTTTCTTTAATTCAAATGATCAACACACAAAGATATTTGGTTTTAAAATATGAAAAATAATCATTAGTCATCACATCTGAGAAGCTGGAAGCAGGAAAGTAGTTATTAGAAAAGCGGCTACCACAAAGGCAGATTGGTTTTCTACTGATAAACTAATGGATTCATCAGCTAATCATCTAAACTTCACTGGGACGGTGAACTTGGTAAACATTACACCTGCTTAACATCAGTTTGGTGAGATGGAAATGTTTGCATTCTTTTGTCATAGGCTAAACTGTTAATCGATTAATAGAAAAGCAATCTGCAGATTGATTGATAATGAAAACATCTGCTAATGTTGAAAATGATCTGGTTCCAGCTTTGTAAATGTGAGGTGCTAATTATTTGTTTTGTCTTTGAATATTTCATTTTTGGCTCAGGGAAAATTTGATAGACTTCTCTTTTTACTATTCCCTGACATTTTGAAGCAATTAATCCATTAACCGATTAATCAGGAAAATAAAGGACACGTTGGCGGATAATGATTGGAAATGATAAAAGCTGCAGCCCTGCTCTGGTATATTCAGTATATCAGTTAGTACTCAGGTGTTGTCACTGTGGCCTCTTCTGCTCTGCTACAAGTCAAATTAAAGTGACTCTCCCCCAAAATCTCCCTTTGGTATCAAACACATTCATGCTCCTGTAGAGCTGAAACAGGCCTGCCTTGTTTCTTCCTGCCTCAGGGTTTGTATCCTGTCTGGTGTGGGTGTGTCGGTGGAGTTACACACAGGCCGGAGGTGATGGGTGTGTGTTGTAAAAATCATTTGTCTAATTGCTATTTGCTGTGTTTCTGTTGGATGTATAGGAGCAGCTGTTTTTATTAGGGGTGCGGTGTGTGTGTGTGTGTCTGTGTGTGTGAGACGTGGTGTTAACACTAACCATGTTGTCAGCACACTCACACTAGTGTTCTAGTGTTTCTGCTGTTACTAACCATGTTGTCAGCACACTCACACCCTGCAGTGTTTCTGCTGTAAACCACACCAATGGTGTCTGGACTTTTTGTCCACTACTGTAAACTAGTTTCTGTGGAGGCTTTGTACATGACTCTAAACAACTTGGACGTCTACCAGGGAATGTTCTGTTGTATAATAATAGTAAATGTATTTATATAGCACTTTTTTAAAAGCAAGCATTACAAAGTGCTTCACAGTAAGAAAATACATAACCAATATGCAACATAAGATGTCCAGACATCAAGAGAACACAACAGACATTTATATTAAGCTGCCATGTGTAGTACAGTACTACACATAACACCCAACCACAGTGTCAAAGGCCATAGAGAGCAAATGAGTTTTCAGACACGATTTAAAAGCTGCCAGGTTCGAAGCAGCCCTCATCTCCAGTGGAAGGCTTTTCCACAGTCTGGCTCCAGCATTAGCAAAGACCCGATCACCCTGGAGCTTAAGCCTGGACCTGTGCATGTATGGTGTCTAAAATATCCAACAAACAGAAGAAGCATGAAGCCAGCTGCAAAGTGATTGCAAAACAGTGAAAAAATTTTAATGGCGACTTCAATAAAACTGTTGAAAATCAAAAAATATTCACTTTACTAAAATCACTTTTGAACTTCCTAATCACTTATTCTGTTGTTTCTGGTGTTTGACAAAAGTTTTGAAGCTGGGCCCCTCGGAGGCAGTACTTATTGTCCCTGTCAACTGAAGCCATCCTGTAAGATGTGGTCACAAGTCAGTTTTGACTTACTTTAATATTTGGTGAAATAAAGAATAATAAAGGCCTGTGCGCTGTCCCACGCAGCCTGTATGCTAATGCCAGGCAGTGATGTGAGCTAAGCAGATACTGGTCATTATTGTTTGTCATGTAACACAAGGTGGGGAGGTGACAACTAATCCATCACTGAGCCTGACAGTGTTCATAGACTGGTTCTGTATCATCTCCATCTTCTGGTTTCTCTGTCCTCTCCAGCTCCCCCTGCTCTGTGTCTCCATGGTGAAGTGGGTGGGCTCTGATGTCGGTCCCTCCTCTTGTCGACCCTGCTGTCATGCCCACCGTGGTATCCAGACTGCCCAAGCCTAGCTTGCTGCGTGTCTTGCCGACGTTGTTATCCAGACTGCCCAAGCCTAGCTTGCGGCCCAAGTCTGCCTCGGTCTCCAGCGACGCTCAGACGGGTCCGACTGCCACTGTGAACACCAGCAGCTCCACCAACGCTGCTGCAGCCAGCTCCCGCCTCACCAACGGGTTCTACCATCATCCCGGCCCAACTGGGGTCAACAGCAGTTTACCTGCACCCCCCTCCTCTGTAAAGCAGAATAGATTTATCAGAGTGCCGACATCGTTTTCCATCAAATGGAGGAAAGAAAATGTGGTGACGGAGTCTGGAGGGGCTGATGGAGAGAGGGAGTGGAGGAGAGGAAATGTCGGGCAGAATCATCAGCATTATTCCCAGTGGCAGCAGGGCTCAGCAGTGGTGTCGCAGCGCAACGCCAAAAGACCGCCTACATCTTCTGCAGCAAAGGGGCGTGGTTTAGTCCAGACTGTCACTACTTCATCATCAGCATCACCGCAGTCCGGCCCCAGAACTCTTCCTGTTTCTAGAACTGGGTTTCTCAGTTCCAAACCAAGTCAAACTGCACCCGGGCTGACCAACAGCACAAAGCAGACGGTAAACAGCCTTTCAGGATCTAAAGCACAGAGCGGCACCACTGGTTCTCTAAGACGGCCTCAGAGTTTTGCTCAGCTGGGTGGTTCTAGTCCTGGTTCTCAATCTAGTTTCCCTCTGCAAAAGAAACTGCCGGCCAGCCGCTCACAGTCCATCGACAGCCCTGGGTCCGCTCCATCCATCCCGCTAATTCAGAGTGATCGTTTGCGGTCACGTAGCTTCACCCAGGTCCGAGAGCAGCTTTCCCCTGCCCTCACCCCTTCCTTCACCACCTCCTCCCTCCCTCACTCCCCTACTGTCACCTGCTCTTACTCCATCAACAGGGTTGCTGAATGGGGATTCAACAGACCGCCTGCTTCCTCTGCTCAGGCTCCACCCAGTGGGATCTTGGTGAATTCTTCTGTTGGCAGCCAGACTCATGAGGGTGGAGGTGGAGGGGTCAGAGTTCAAAGACAGTCCCTTGCTACCTTAAAGAAACCCTTCCTGCCCAATCCGGGCACTGCCTCTAAGCCCAGTGGCATCAGCTACAAGCTGTCACGCCCGTCATCCATAAAGCAGTCACACCCCCTCTGGGCGACCCCAACCAGTGTGTCTGGAGGTGACCAGGAAGTAAACCTGATGGGATGGAGGAGCTCGGTAGAAACACGTTCTAGCACAGAAAACAGCCCAGGTCAGAGGTGGTTTTTAACTAGTCTTCTGTCTCTGCTTCCTCTGTATTTCATATCACTGACACCTGATCCAAAATCTGATCTCTAGTCACATTTGACCTCATCTTTTTCCTTCTCTCCTCATTTCTCATCTTATGCCTTATAAAATCTCAACTATGTCTAACTACAGGACAAAACACACTTTTTATTTTTTGTTTAACATGTCTCAGTGCAGCTCATTTGTTTCCACTTCTCCTCCCCCTCCCCTGCTATCAGAAAGTTCCCCAGAGGATCCAGAGATACAGGGGCTCACAGCAGAGCCTGTGTCCCAGGCAGAGGTGTCGACTGTGGGGGAGACACTGGAGGACATGTCCCTGTCTTCAACCTCCTCTCTGGATAGAAACGATACCAGTCAGGAGTATATGGATGACTTTGACAACCTGGGTAATTATCAGACAGAAAAACACACAGATACAACTCTTCTTCTTTAGTTTTTATTGTGGTTATGCAGAGAGATTCTTCCTGTTACAGTTCACTCTGTCAGGGCTTAAAAGTGTAAATGCAGCAGATTATTATACATGTCTCAAACTGTTTCATTTAGATTACACTGGCAAGCCAACAGCATCTGGTCTTGTGTTTGCAGGAAACGGAGGGGTCGGCATTCTGCTGTTCTCCTCTAAAAATGATGAGGACGACTCAGGGCTGGACCAGTCATGTGTCAGATATGATGATGACAAGGTGGCTGTTAACAGTGTCACCAAAGGAGCAGGACTCTGTTTTCTGGACGAGGGTATGGACTGGGCCGACATGAGACTCAGTGGTAAGTTTCATAGCATTAATGTCCAGGTCTGGATGGTAAGTTTCATAGCATTAATGTCCAGACCTGGACATTAATGCAAGTCTTGAAACATTTGATAAACAAACTTTAAAACGCTTTCTGTCCAGGTGAGCGCGCTGAGCATCGTCTGACCCGACTGTCACACCGGAGAAGTTCCAGTCAGCCAGACTACCACGACCAGGTACCATCAATAAACAACCTGTACCTTTACAACACCGTCACCGTCTATAATGTGTTCACTTTCAGTTAAATTTAAGTCCCTCAGTGTTTCCTCACCAGGGTGACAGAGGTCTGTGAAAAAGAAACAGGCAGACAGTGCATTAGGATTGTAAATACAGGGAGTGTCGTGACACTTGACTCACAGTTTATAGGTGACTCTGCCCACAGGCAGTTAGAGTGACACATGAGTCACATTGATCACAGCGTGTCGCAGCAGTTTCTAACCTCCGGTCAGGCTCCCTGTCGACCAAGCAGCTTTTCAAACGACCCAGCGATGCTAAACAGATGGTTGGTAAGAGGCGCTGACTGAGGCCAGTAAAAGCCATATGAGGCAGGAAACTGTTCCACTAACAGACAGTTGGCTTCTCCCAGTTCTGCTGGAAGCACAGTAGGAGTCCAGTTTCCTTTTCTCAAAAGAAAAGAGAAGTTAAACAGCCCACGTTGTTGTCAGGTTGTCTGTTTAGTGTAAGGTTTGAATATGTTTCTATGACTGTTCTTATTTGTGTTAACACCTTTTGTACAGGGAGGTGCAAGTCAATGTTTTACAGATGATAATGGGAGAGGAGAGAAAAAAGTAATGAATAAATGAGATGGATAAAGGACACTAACAGATAAAATAGTTTCCTTTGAGTTGCTGTCCCACTAGGTTCAGGTAGTGAGTGCTGATTTTATTTCTCTTTTCTTTAATTTTATATCAGATGTAACTTTTTCCTTAATTTTCTTCTTATCACCACTGAAATATGTGAAACATTTGAAAGAGGAGCTGCAGGTCACTGGAGCCCTGTCCTCCTTTGTCCTCCGTAGGGTGGGTCGTCCCTGGACCTGTCCCCCTCCGACAGCTGTGGCTCTGGGGGAACCTACATGTGGGATGAGGAGGGTCTGGAGCCGCTAGGGGGCCCTGCCACAACCGTCTCCATTAACTCCAACAGCAACACCACCCACCACATTGGGAGCTTCGACTCGGACCTCAACAGTGTCGTAAGGCCAGATTGTGTCTTTTTGCATGTGTGTGTCACTGACGAAGGTTAAGCTGAACACCGGTCACTGTCTTTTTGCATGTGTGTGTCACTGACGGAGGTTAAGCTGAACACCGGTCACTACCCAGCGTCATCTGCCAAATTCCAAGGCACTAAACCTGCAAACAACTGAATTAATTTAAAGAAAGTCAGAGAAATCTTAGTACCAGTCTGTTTTAAATAAACACACATAATTTAAGTAAAATGCAATCAATATATGTGTAATTTCCCAAACAATTTTGCAGTAAGTCACACAAAGACATTCAGCTTTTTGTTACAGGTAATACATAAAAGTTTTAGGGGTGAATTTTTTTAATTATCCAAGAGAAAGCTAAAACAGTGACTCATAGAAACTTGTCATTAAAGTACAACTACTGTAAGAAAAGATAAACAGAATAATCATGCACTTGGTATGAAGGTTTAAGAGAAACGTTTTGCCCTAAACTGATTAACTGTAGTTTGTTTATTTTAAAGCTGACATAAGAATTCCAGAATTTGACTGGTGTTGTAACATGATTTAAATTAGTGGCGGTTTAAATTGAAACTGATTGGTAATATTATACATAGGCTTTATCTAATGATGGTGTCTTGTTGTGACTGAAATCACACTTTCAAGAGACCAGCATCTAAATTAGCTCAAAAAAGGCCAGACAATCACAGCCAATGAAGGAAAACGATAACATCGGCCATGAAAAACACAAGATAACTAAGCTTTAAGGGGAATGAGCACTCTAGCTTGAGGGCAGTTCGCCCTTGGTTCTGTTTGAAAGGTGCAGAGTATCTGAAATTAGTGCTGCTTAGGGTTCCTTTACAATCTGTTGTTGATTTTGCTGGGATCAGGCCAGTAAAGCTCCACTGAACAGAGCCGAGACAAAGTGAAGTGTTTACTATTCCGGCAGCATCACTTCCGTCCTGCTGCTCTGTCCTACTGGGGTCCACTTCTTGGCTTCAGAAACCAATGACCAAAAACAGGTTGGGACCCTCTCGTGGCTGGTGTTGAGCAGCAGCGGGGCGGTTTCCAACGAGCAGACTGAAGATCAGACAGGCAGAAACAAGCCAGCAGAGCTGAAGTGAAATGTCAGAGTTTGCACATTTTTGGAACTAGTCTGGGCTCGAGGTGTTGGAGCAGAACCCAGACCTCCTTCAAGCTCTGAACAGCTCTTCATTACTGCTGCTTCTGAAACCACGTGATTTTCATACATAACAGGACTTTAATGCAAAAAAAAACGTCCCTGATGTCTGGTTTTACCACCAGTGGAGCGAAAACTCAGACAGTTTGGAGTCTTCTGCAAGATCAGATCTGGTTCTTCTCAGTTCTAGTAGTAACTGACTCGGATCAGATGTTTTGAGTTCAAGAAATAAAAAAAAGTGCTAAAACCAAAACCCACCTTTGCAGCAGGTACAGGCTGCCATTAACAGTTAATGTCAAAGTAAAATAAAAAAAAAGGAATTTATTTCAGTCAAGATGATTTTGTGTTGAAGCCATGCACCTGTTGTGACACTCAGAATGTTTACATGGGAAACTGGTTGCAGTTCAGCACTTGTAATCTTCTAACATTAATTTTAACACAGCATGTTTCAATGGCTGCCAAAACCCTCAGTTTGTCCTGTGGCAGGAATCGAACATCCACATTAAGAACATCTTTTCTTTACATTTCAGTGTTGCTCTTAAAGAAACCGAGTTTCCCTCAAATCTAATTCTTTCCCAGCCAAAGGCAGGAGAACAAGCCAAGTATTCTCTGTGTTCATCAGCCTCTTTCAATTTTTACCAGATGATTAGAAACAGGAGGAGGACTCTGATCCTACCCAGAGACTGTTTCACCTCTTCAGATCATATAAAAGTTAATAATGTAAAAGGTTCTGTGGGTTTGTCTCCATCACTTTGAGTCATCAGAGGTTACTTACTGAGAGTCATCTACTGAAATCAGACCTCAGGCCTGCATCATTTATCAGGGGTCACAGTTGTCAGGGATTAGTGCCTCATTAAATCATGAGCTCCCTGAGATCTGAGGACTGGTGAGGTCTGAAGGCTCTGGCTCCCCCTGGTGTCTGCTCGGTGTACTGCTGTCTGTGAAGGCTTCTGCTGGTTTCTGTCTGCTACGTCTGTGTGGAGTTGAATATCCAGTACATTCACAACCACTTCAGATGACATGAAGTAATCTAGCTAAAATGCAGATAACAGAGTGTTGATGTTGTACTGATTAACGCAAATTACATGTATAAAAGATTTGAATATAAGACTTTAAAATGGATATTAAAAAAATGCTGTGAATTGTAAACTGTACAGTAGTAGCTGTGTCGTGTTGCTGCTGAAAAGTCTGACTTTAAAAAAAAAAAAAAATTTAATATACAGAAATTCTCCTTTCACAGCCTGTACACTCATGTACTGGAAGTAAAAATAATACCAGTCTGTTATGGTCCTGTTCTTAGATGCTTAAAAACTAATGCAGATAACAGAGTGTTGATGTTGTACTGATTAACGCAAATTACATGTATAAAAGATTTGAATATAAGACTTTAAAATGGATATTAAAAAAATGCTGTGAATTGTAAACTGTACAGTAGTAGCTGTGTCGTGTTGCTGCTGAAAAGTCTGACTTTAAAAAAAAAAAAAATGTAATATACAGAATACACAGTTAATGTTGAGCAGCAGTAAACATATCAGACTGATTTTATGGACCTGTCATTATAGTGCTGCACAGGAACCACTGGTTCTCTTAAGTGTTTTACCCATTTTAAATTTGTACTGGAATGATTTCCTAAATGTTGCTGGACTCGGACACACGTCGCTCTTCTGGTAGTTATAAAAATCACAGCTTCTGAGTTCTTCTCTCCTTCACATTTTATATCGTGTACTGTTGCCCTTTTATCAAAGAATCTAATTTTCTTACAAAATTGTTTGTATTTTGTTCTGATGATTCAGCCTGGATAGCTTTACGTCCGTGTGTCTGTCAGGAGTTTTTTTGCATCGATTCCATCTCCAGCCCAAGACATGACAGTGTGTAGACTTCTTTAATCATCAGGATGGGATGGACTGCAGTATTACTGTCTCCTGTGCAGTACAGTTATTATACTTCTTGAATTATGTTGAGGTGGTGGTAATGAGCTCCCTGTCTTAATGTGCCCTCTGTGTTAATGAGCTGTGGGCCTTGAAGAGTGATTGACCCTAATGAGCTTTAGGGCCTTAATGATCTGAAGACATTAACAAGTTCTGAACTGATGTCTGAAGACTTTTGTTTCCTAATATACATTTATCTATACACCTGAATGTCTGTTAATTAGTCAGCCCTGCTTCTTGCAGCAATTTGTTGATTAAAGTGAAACGCGGTGTGTTGCTGCTCATGTTTGCCGTGGCCACTAGGGGTCATTGTTGGTCTGTGTGTGGCTGCAAATCTGAAACACGCCACACTGTTGGTCCTGGAGTCACACAGCCTGAAATCTGCAGAAAGCTGTTGGCTTGTTGTTATTTTTCTCTCTCTCTCTCTCTCTCTCTGTGTGTGTGTGTGTGTGTGTGTGTGTGTGTGTGTGTGTGAGAGTGTGTGAACACACAAAAATCTGCTTTTTGTTTGTCAGTGCAGCACTACCAAGTCAACTGTGAAAGCTGCAGAATGACTGTGTGTGTGTTCAGCCTCCATACAAGGCTGAAACATTGATTTGTCCAGAGCGAGGAGAAGTAAGAGGAAGAGCTTAGGAGGAGGGTCAAAGAAGAAGAAAATTAGGAGAAGGAGAGGATCAGAGCAAGAGGTGAGACGAGCAGGGAGATGGGAGACAGAGGAGAAAGAAGAGGGAAGAGAGGAAGAGGTCCAGAAGGGAAAAGAAAAGTTAGGGGGGAGGTAGTGAAAAGATAATAGAAAGACAAGAAAGGACAGGAGAGATGGGAAGGAGAAGAATAAGGAGAGGAAGAGGAGAGTGTGAGAGAGAGGAGATAAGGAAAAGAAGGATAAGAGGTGGAGGAGGAGAGAGCAGAAAGAGGAGATTAGGAGGTAATGTGGTGTTGTGGCTGACTGCTCTCTGCCACCGGGAACAGTTTGTGCAGGGATGTGTGAGTCTTTCAACACAGCAGCTACTCAGGGTGAACACTTGGTTTCCTCTCAGGTCATTGTGCTGTGACTAAGCCTCTCCGGGCAGGAAACAACGAGACTAACGTGTGTGGAGTTAAACCCTTCGTCTTTTTTGTTTTCATAAACCGCTCTCTCCTTCAAGTTTTCTTTTGATTTATGACTTTGGAAGAAACTTGAACAGTGTTTCAAAATTGTAAAAACTGTTAATTCCCGTTTTTAAAAACAGAAGATTTCACAGTTTTCAAAGACTATTTCTATGAAGATGTTTCTACATCAGGTCTATATTTAATCACATTTCAGCTAGTATTATAATTGTTTTGTGGCTATACAGCCTTTAAAAACAGTAAACATCTGTGAGAACAGCTGTTCCAAAATCTGTCCTTCATATGTTGAATTATTTGATTCAGTGATAATTATGATAACGAGGACACAGCTCAGTTATGAAACTGAAGGCCTCACAGTGAGGGACAGTGTCTTTACCAGTGTCTGGCTGAAGCTCACACTGTCCTTCATAATGCAGCTGTTATTTTGCAGAAGGAATAAAGAGAGTTGTTTGCAGTTTTTGTTCATTTGTGTCTGTGTGGTTGTTCAAGGATTTTGTTTTGTGCTTGCAAGGTGAGAGGAGCTGCACTGTCTCAGATTTAAGAAAATTGGAAATCAGATAGGGAGGCATTCATTCATTTTCTACCACTTAGTCCCTGAACGGGGTCACGGGTGGGGCCGGAGCCAATCCCGGCCGGCATTCAGCTTTATTATATTTCCTACTTTTTTCTGTCTCCTCTAGTATATGTTTCAGGGCAGGCTCTGAAGCCCACATGTACCAAAAGTCTGACCAGCAGAAAATCAAAAATCCATCATCTGCACCTGCAACACGCACAGGTGGTTGATTGTAATGATGGTGTGTCTGCATTTCCCAGAATGCATTTGAACAAATCTGGACTAAATCGTGATCTGTGAAGGTGAATGAGTGTGTTTGAACTATGGTTGTTTCTGAATCTGTTGACTTGTTTGCCATTTTGTTGTGTTGCATAAATGTATAGTGATAATTACTTTCTGTTTAGTAAACTCAAATATCTTATTTATCTCGTATAAAACCATTACGCTGTCACTGGTAAGCAACAGATTTTAATCACCATAATGCTCCAATCAGAAAAAACTCAAACAGGTCAGTTTTAGTCTGCTAAACAAAACAATTTCGTCACAGTTAGTCCGCAACTTCATCTTTCTTTTCAGCCACAAAACAGTTTGGTTCCAATTAGCTAACAGGTCAGTAATTAGTTATGTGCTTGGTTTGTTTCAGGGTGGCTCACGTTAGCAGATAGAACTGTTTGGTTCAGGTTAGCTAAGGCCTCTTTTAAAGCGCTGGGTTCTGATTAATTAGTTAATGGTTTAACAGCTAAACTATGGTTTCTTTGGATTTTCCCCTCAATGAAACTCTTGATCTTTTGGAGTAATTGACACTAAAACCTGATGTTTCAAACATTTTCTGCAAAGGTGTCCATTCATTTCACCCCATCTCTGTCAGGACATCGTGAACAACCTGGACTCTTGTGATCTGGATGATGACGACCTTATGCTGGACGAAGACTTTGCCTCACTACACAGCGGTATGTTACATACTCATAAAGAAAGATATGATTTCCACCAGGGTTTTAAAAGACCTGTGATGTGGAGATGCTGGACACCTGAATCTCCTGCTGGAAAACATTCCTGTTTCCTGCACAGAAGACTTCATGTGGGCTATAAATCATACTGTGGTGCTCCTTTTGTTGTACTGGCTATCGCTGTACTTTAATCACCTTTTTAAATAAACCCCCTGTTTTGTTGTGCTGCTGGCCTGAACCCTACAGATGGAGACGGGATGTCCCATATGGCGCGGTGGGGAAGGAGACAGCTCTGCTGGGGAGTGCAGGATGACAGTGAAAGGTGAGGGAAGGAGCTTGTTCTAGATTAACCTGAGTGTTAGTCACCCCCTGCAGTCTTCTTGGTCTGCACTGGGGAGAAAATATGAGAAAAAACATTTCCAGATATTGTACATGCTTCACAGTTGAAATATGTGTAGAACTATTCAGAATATCATTATATTTTGCCAGAAAACCTTTGGAAGTTTCAGTTGATGGTGGTCAAGGGAGTAGCCAACATCAGCAGTTTTCTTTTTGTTAGTAACATGAATGTTTTCACAAGCACTGACTGTTAACTAAGTTCTCAGGGTCAGAAAGGCTCATTTTAAAATTGAGAAGTCTGCCCTGGTGGGAAGGTGATGGAGGCACCAAACCTTTACTGGGACATGAATGTGTACAGACATATTTGTGTTAGATTAACAAGTCGGCTTGTTAGAAAACTGAAAGATGAGGAGCAGGAGGGCAGGTCTGGGATGTTCTGGCTACAGATTAACAAATGGGCCTGAGGTGCTTTGAGTTTATGCATTAATACAATGCACCACAGAATCATTTGACTGCAGTTTATATAATTCCGTGATTTTTTTTTTACAAGAGTCTAAAACATAGTAGCTGTGGTGCATGGCCTTCTTTTGCCTTCCTCACATGTTTTCTATAGTCATTCCACCTGAATGAGTGTTAATGCTACTTTCCATCCACGTTTGCTTCTAGGCCAGCCTGCACCTTTAGAATCCTAACCAAATTTAATGTAAAATTAATCAAAATAATCTTTTATATTGTTTGTCAGTGTCCATTTCCTGTCATATACATAATCAAAACTGTAGAAAGACATGTCAGACTCTACAACGCTGACTGATGTCTTTACCACGATCAGTCTGCGAAATGTGCTCATGAAAATACCTGCGACCTGGAAACTGAGGTCAGTGATTCGTCCAGTCGGCAGCATTTTCCTTTTCCTCAGGGCCCTGGCAGAAAGTCCTCCAGTGTGTCTGCTGATGGGGCATTTCTGCCTCAGTACTTGAAATGAAATTGAAATTCACTTTAATTGACATCAGAAAAATAACAGCAGACATATTAAGTCTAGCTAATGTTGAGCCTGGTCATTTTCCATCATCCCTGCAGTGACTTCCAGTGTTACAAGCTAACAGACGATCCTGGGAACAAGAGAACGGACACGACCGGGGACGGTGACCTTGTTCTGGACCTCCGACCTCCAAGGTGAAGCATCTTCAGTCTCACTGTACACTAAACCCAGAGCTCACTGTTGACTAGATTGGTAGTCGGAGGTTAGATGCAGACTGTCACGGGTCAATCCTGTAATCTGAAATAATACCATTGGTTTTAGCTCCTGGCAGTCTTTTCCACTCAACAGTGGTATAATAATAGTTTGTGTTGCCAGACTGTCATGTTCACACGCCTCATGCAGAAATACGTGAGGCGTGTGAACGTTGAGCCACATACAGTATTTATGTATTTTTAACACCAGTCTTTTGGAATCAGAAGCCGTTTAGATGTACAGTGTTCCATGCAGCGGACTGAGGTGCATCTGCCAGATGTTGTAAACACTATGTATGGCATCCTTCACCCCCTCAGGTCTCCCTGCCTGACTTCTGGTACGCCTGCTTTGGGTGTGGATGTGCAGGAGCTGGTTGAAGACTGTTCTGCAGTCAGGTCACAGCTGGAGCACCTGCAGAGGTTACTGCTGCAGGTGAGAGGGGAGGAAGAGGACCTTTAAAGCTCTCATAGTGGACTGTGCTCCTATAACTACACGAGGTATCAAGGATTAGTCAAAGTTGATGCCATGCAGAGCCCAAAAGCAACAACTTGTTAGTCCATCTCTCTCTGTGGCTCCCTGCTTGTGGCTGCCTCCTCTAAGCTTTGGTTCCTACTAAAGACATAAATCTTTAAAAACACCTCACAAATATATACTTTCATGCTTTATAAAAAGGATCAGTAGGTTAAACAAGGGGACCTTATGATCTAATAAAAAGAGATGCTTTGTTGTTTAACCCTTTACTCAGGTCAGGTTTAGAATATACTCAGAACGGTCATGGGTAAATATTCAACAACAATGCAACAGTTCGATCATTTCCATCACCAGTTTCCTTCAGGCACTTTCAGCTGTAGAGTCTGGCAGTTTTTCTGTGCGTATGTCTGAGTCTGTTCTGTATCCAGAGTGAATGTGAAGCAACTGGTGTTAAATTATTCTTCCTTATTTGAGTTTCTTAGTCTGTGTTTGTTTGCCCCAGACAGCCAGTGTACCAACTGTGCAGACATCTGCTTAAGCCAGCGAGCAAATCCACACCCTGTGTAATATTTGTTGTGCTCCTTTTCTTCTCGTCTCGCTGTAATAAATTGGGGTCATAATGCTTGAACGTAAGTGGGTTTTTGGATCCACATGAGACTTGTTCAACTCAGTTTTTTTCCTAATGTGCACCGCTCAGGGTAAATTTATGTTTTTAGTGTTAAGCGTTTTTTTGGTCTGAACATATCTGATCAGGACATTTTGTCAGCAGAGCTGGACAGACTACAGTGTGATAAATCTTTCTCCTGAGTTGTGTGTAATTTTCACAAATGAAAAAAGGTTATGATGTTCTCACATGCCGTGTGTGTGTGTGTGTGTGGACCACGGAAGCCACTCGCATTCTGTTCTGTTCTACTCATATTACATGTTCTAATGATTGATATGCTACGTGTGTACGCTGTACAGGAGGAAGACCTGGACGAAGACACCCTGACGACAGACGCTGTGAGCCCTGAGGCTGACACCACCTCCCACAGCTCTGACACACAGGTCAGCATGTTGAGATTGACACGGCAGAGTCCTGCTTCACTTTGTACAGAAGACCATTTTTCAGCTTTCCTTTAAACTGCCTCAGCTACTTTTAGGCACTACTAGTGTTATCCTACATTTCCCAGAATCCCTGTCCACAGACATACTGTAACATACTGTACGTATGTGTTTAGGTGCAGGCTCTCCTGCAGGAGGTGCAGCAGCTCAGGGAGGAGCTAAAGAGCCGAGACCGAGCCATCGCACACCTCACACTGCAGCTGGTCTGTGTCTCCCAACTGCAGATGTTAATACACTAACCTCGTCCTACTGGCTGATACAGTCTGATGAGCAACACACAGTGCACTTATTTATTGACCGTCTGAGATTTTCCACACTGTTTATGCTCTGGTAGCTTTGCCTGTAATATTTATGGGTGTGTTTGAGCACTGTTGATGGGCAGAGCTGCTTTATGGGGATAATGGATTTTTGTACGACTGCTGCATCAATATAATAGGATGCCTTCATTTACCGGGTATCTTGCCTGCATTTGTCAAAAACAGACCTTGCTGTCAGGTTACTTCATCCATTATCAGTATTTCATTGGTTTCCTAGGAAACTTGCCACACTGTGTGTACAATAAACAAATTATCCATGTGGTGATGGAGGACTTTTTTCTACATTGGCTTCTCCAAAGATGCCAACAGTGCATGCTTACTGTTTATGTTAACATGCAAGTCATTAGCAAGCCTCCTTGTTAGCATGCTGACATTATCATTAGACCTAATCACAGCTGTGTGAGACTAAGATGTGGTCTCCTGTTGTCCTCTTTACATTTTTCTTCTTCCAGTGGAAAGATTTTAACCATGACTTAAAGTTTCTCCAGTGTTTTCTGACATGTAAAGACCATTAGAGTCTCCAGTGTGTTTGTAGACTTTGGTTCCATTTTAAAAGCAACGCTCAAAAATGTATGTTTCGGAAGCCATGAGCAACAGCTTCATGTGGATTAAAGACTAAGCATTCATTTGAAGCTTATAGCGAAACAACAGCAACATAAATGTATCAGGACAGTATACACACTGTAAGGTCATATGTTCAGTATCTTTCCATACATTATACCTGGTATTATTAGTAAGAATAACTTGAATAATAACAAGGACATGCTGCTCTGTCGATTCTAATTGCAGCTCCATAGACGTTTGAGTTAATAATGGTGACTTCCAAGACAAGACAGTTAATATGAACTAATTGCATTTGTGTGTTTGTGCGTGTGTGAGCAGACTGTTCCCATGGCGACCACCAGGTGTCGTTGCCAGGAGACGACAGGAAGGATAGATCGATACACACAGACGAGTGTGACGGAGAGAGAGAGCGTGGCCTCGCAGACGCTGTGGACAGAGCCCATGGTGAGGACGCACACATCACAACCACAGTCGCACAACATTTAATAACCTGCAGTAACAGAGATGCAGCCATGAGTGCACAAAAAGAAAATCCAACAGAAATGAACAAAATGATGCAGACTGTGAAACACTACAGTTACAGTGAAGAGAAGGACTCGACGGCACAGTTGTGTGCTTCCTTAATGAAGGTGATGAAACTTTTTTCTGCCCCCCCATCTCTCTAAGCTTCTGTGTTCATAGTTTGCTTGCTAGTTGTCATAGGAGCAATTGCAGACAGTTTGGTTTTACTGATGATGCCCGGAAGCGTTTCTGGGTAATGTAGTCCTTCAAACGGTTAAACTACTATGGGTCTTGCCTGAGGAGGTTTCTGGTGCTGTAATTTTTACTGTAGCACCATTTGTCTATATCTCACAGGGGTTTTTAGCTTTTGTCTCCTTTTCTCAGAGACTTCCTTTGAAAAAGTCTGTGCCCCTTCTGGCTCCTCCTCTGTGTCTGTCACCTGCTCTCCATCTTTTCTCTCTTGACATTCTGTCTCCGTTTCCTCCTGCCTCTCCTCAGGCGTTTCCTCCTGTTCCTTTCCTCTCTCCACCCTGGCAGTATCAGCGCTCCAGGCCTTACAGGGGGAGGCCGCAGCCCAGCATCCCCTCCCATCTCGCTAGAAGAAGTGAGTCACATTACCCCGTCTCACCCCTCACCTTATGGGTCCCTGCTGCCATTTCACAGTCTACACTGCTGACTGCTCTTTGTCTTCCTCCTCATCAAGCCAACTTACCAGACTCCATTAGATCATCCCACATTTTACATCCTTGTCGGTAGGGCTCATTATCTTGAGCATTAGTTTCTGTGTAAGTACCTAAAATACTTGCTTATACAGGTAAAAATCAGTTTATATTAATATAATTTTCTATATCAGAAACCAGCAGTAGTTTAGTTTTGTTGTGTTGAAGATGTTGAACATAAAACACAGAGGAAGAAGTTTTCTGACTGTAAAGAAACAGGAAACTACAACCTGGTGACTGAAGGTGTGTGAGAGCTAAACGTCGCCTGACAGAAACACCAGAACATTTGCATTAGTTCTGTCTGTCGAGCTAAGCCGCCCGACAGGCGAGTGTTTTCAGTTGTAATGGCCCACTCAGTGTTTCTACAGATGCTTCTTTAGTCTGCTTTACTCAGACAAAGCTACAGCTGCAGATCAGACTTCACCACTGTATGTTTTTGTCTTCTGAGTTGATCCCTGTGATCATAAAGTTGTAAATTTTTGCTGTAACCTAGATGAGAAAAAAACAAAACAAATTTTTATCAGGTCATCACTTGTCAAAATCAATAACTTGTGCTGGACTCAGTTTTACTCTGAAGCCTGCTGGGTGTAGTCTGCACTTGGCATTAGATAAAAGCACCTTCTTTACTGTTGAGTTCTAAAGAGTTTTATTAATTTATGAAGGAAGGTTGTGACACTGGCTCTGCCTGCACACAATAGAAGTAAATGAGTGTGTGATGTTTCCATTTATATCAAATTCAGTATTGACAACAACAGAATACAGGAGGGTCACCAAGTCTGGTTAACCTGTTTAAAAAGAGCGCAGAAAATTAATTTTCTCAGACATTCAGGGTAAACAGGTGGCAGAAGTCAGAGATGTTTTCATGGAGAAGTATGAAACGACCTCAATATTATACTCTGTTATGCCCCGTGAGTCAAAACTGCACTAAATTAACAATCCAACTTGAGTGCTTGTGTGATGTCCAAGGCTTTTTTTTAACTTAGTTTTACTTCTACACTTTTTAACCTCATTTCCGCATAATATGTTCATTAATCCCCCCTCATATGTTTATGCCCACCTCTGCTTTTCATTCAATTCCTAAATCCTTTGACTCTTTCTTGATAAGTTTGTTGGTTACCCACGTAACATTTACTCCAAGCCCTCCTTCCTTCCTTCCCTCTTCAGCTCAAATCCTTGAGCCACATCTCCACCTCCATTACAGTCCATCCACGCTGTCTTGTCTCCTGCTGACACAGACAGATTGTTGCCTGAGAAATTGTGTCTCTGCTTGAAACTGTTGAGAAATCTGTGAATGACTTGTGAATATTTTCCTCTAAACCCCCCCAATTTCTTCTGTCTGTGTGTTTATGCCTCTGCTCTCTGCCCTCACCCAGGAGTGGAGAAGCTAGTGCTTTACTTCAGCGACACAGCCTGGTACAGTAGTAACTTTTTTACCTTCTTCATGCTCCCCCTCCTCCTCATCCATCTCCTTTCACTTCCCGATTCCTCCCGATCAACCCATCAGACAAAGGAAACTACTGAAATAGGCCAAACCTTTGGTAGTGAACCAGCTCCATGACCTCAGCTGTGTGTGTTTAAAGCAAAGTTTTTGTAGTGTTAGTTTTTTGTAAGATGATGGTCACCTGGACTCCTGCATGTTTTGTTGTTGTTGTTGTTTTATCAGGGATATATAGACAACCATCAGTCGGAACAGCTGTGGTGTTGCACTATTAGTTTATCGAGTCCTGCAGGAGCAGTCACAATAAAGCAGTGAGTCTTTGACACTTCTGTAGTTGTCTGTGTCCTCAGTGATGGTGAAACATCTCTGTGGATACATCACATGAGCGTCTGTGTTGATCTTATACTACATAAGCAAGCTGCCGAGGAATGTATTTATTACATCATGGTGCGTACTGGGACATGTAGCTAGTTAGCGTGGCTTGTTTATCAGAATTAACCAGGCAAATTGCTGCCGGCCACGAGCGGCCACGTACCAGCACTCACAGAGTCCAGATAGAGCGGTCAGTCTGTCAGTCCTCTCTGAGACTCCAGCGTGCTGATTTGCTATGTGGGCACATACTCACCATGATGTAATAAATATATTCCTCGGGAGGTCGCTTGTTTAGTGTGCAGACAGTCTTTCTTTTTTCCTTATGAATGTAGCCACTCAGCTTTCGGTTTGCTGGTTATAAAAGCTGGTATTCGAATATTGGCTGAGTCAATAAAAACACCGGCCACTAATACAGGCCTGGTAAATTCAGTGTAATGTATGTTTCCACTGCACTAATTCATCAGTGCAGCAGCTGATGAATATAAGATACAGTGTAAAGCTCCAGGACAAAATGGAGTTTGTGCTGAGGTTGTTTTATGAACAGCTTATTTCAAGGCCTGAATGTTCTGTTTCTGATTCAGACTCATGAGAGTCATTACTGTAATACTGAATGAACAAATCAGACCCGTAGAACTCGAGCTGATATGGTACAAACCTAATAATAATGTAGGAGTAGGAAAGTATTCACTGATAAAATGATACTTAGTAGCTCAGCATCTCCCCACACCGGGCCACTTGTCTGGACTGTTTTACCCATGATTCATTGCTCCCGGGGGCAGGTCACACCTCCTCCTTCAATCTGAACTGAGTTTTTAAAAAAAAGTCTGGGGGCTCGTTAGGAGGCGGGGCTGAGCTAAAATTACCTTTCTAAATGGCTCTTACATTTGGCATTACATAAGGTGCACTTCGCCTCAACTTGTTCAGTCACTTGGAGCAGTCGGACCACGGGAGACGAGATCGCTCCAGTGGCTCCTTTTCCGTGCGTCTTAGTCCCGCCCAGGTAAGATGCCAGGACAAGGAATCAAGGAAATGTGTTTTTAAAGATGTGAGTCCACTAGACTAAATTACCCTCAGCAGAAGGTCCGGACCGTTCTCTCCTCTCGTTCATTTACTTTCCAAAATGTGCAGAGCGGCTCCTCTGAAATTACAGAGCTCTCATCTTCAGGATATGTTTGAAATGGCTGACCTTTATCTTTTCTTTTCACAGTGCAAAACTCTACAGAATTAACTGTCTTAATCTCTCATCACTGTCCATGTTAAAATATTCCTTGCCCTTTTTTGAGATGCTCTTTAAAAAGCCATTTTCTTCAGTCATTTTCTTCTAGTGTCCAATGTTTGTCGGCTCTGAACAATGTGACATTTCTGTAAATCTTCCCCTGTGACTCAGAGCTCTAGTAGAAGCTGGAACAGCATTGTTGTGATTCACACTGGAAAGGGTCGCTAGTTGCTGAAAATTCAACAGAGAAAATCAGCATCAGAAGCAATTAAAATGATATTGTGAGTATGTCAGACATCTACTTTAGAGAAGCCAGAAGCGCTCCTCCTCTGGAGTGTCCTGATAATGTTCTAGCCACTGTATTGTCCAGAGAACATCCTAACACCTTAATGACAAAAAAGATCAAAAGCTGAGTGTGTGAAGGTGAAAAAATGTTCGGATGCACGAGGGACAGCGAGGTCGGCAAAACACAGATTCATTAAAGTGATGACAAATCTGTTGAGTCTCTGAGCGGTGCACAGACCACTCAGGTACCATGGGGCTGTTTACATGATTTATTCTGTGAGTAACTTGATGACACAACAAAAGAAAACTTTTCTGTTTGTGTGATCTTCTGTAAGGGGAGAAGCTCCACTAAGTGCTTTTGTAGTCTCACTAAGTCCAACAGAGTGAGACGTCCTCTCTCTAGCACAGTTCAACGTTTGTATCAAAAACATAAATTTAAACTGATCAGCTTCGAAGTTTTGAGCCAGGACCTTCAGTGTTTGGATCAGGCAGTGCGTCAGATTAATGGCGACAGCTGCAGCTGTTATTTCACTGTGTCAGACACAGTTAATCAGCATTTAGGTGAACTCTGTATGCATGAATAATTAAAAGATCATGTACTTCAGTGACCATGAGAGGTGGAAGGACTGTATCCACTGCACAATGAGATGACTACTGAACATTAATAATCTGCTGCTATAGCAATACTCGGAGCACTAGGAGCTCATGTTTATTCATGATTGGCATAGCTTTAACAATTGAGCTAATTAATGATGCACCGTGAAGTGGTATTATTCATCTAATGAGCCTCCGGGGGCCAATGAGAGGACAGCAGAGAGGAGGGGAGGGGAGTTGGTTTGGGTGGATCAGCACTTTGTTAGCCACACAAGTGTGTGTCTGTGGGTCTATGCATTTGTGGGTGTGTGTGCTACTGTAGGGACGTCCTGTAAGTCGTCGTCAGGGGAGCAGAACACTCTGGAAAACAAATTTGGCAGTCGAGTGATTCCCTCCATCCAACGCAAGGTGAACCCTGGAGCAGAGCTGCGTGTGGTTGAGGACATGCTCGCCTCATCTCACGTCTGTGCTTCTTTCTTCTTCACTCTTTCTTCCCCTCCTCCTTCACTGTTGGTGCTGGCCTTTCTCTGCGTCACATCATCATTCTCTCACTTTTTCCCGTCTTTCCACCCTCTTTCTCTCACTGCCCTTCTTTTTAATCCCTCCATCTTGGCATGAATTATTTATGAGGGATTGGACACAGATACACTTTAGGAAACGTCCCAGCAGGAGATGGACAGGTGCATGGACAAGTAGCAGCGCCACCCCCCACCACCAGATGCCAGTGTTCACCAGCAAATGTTTCCTTCCTGTCAGAGTTGGAGTTTTATTTCTAGGCTCAGTGTTTTCATGCCACAGATTCAGTCTCTTCTCATTCTGGGCGGCTTCTGATTTTTCTCCCCAGTTTCTCATCATGACATCACTCTAAATTAAAGTAAAAGTCGGTTTTTGTTCTTCTTCTTGCCCTTAATTGATGTGCAGACTCAAGCTAACAGTGAATGCCTCTGCTAACGAGCACAGTTTGTGCATTAAAGCCTGATACAGCTTATTCTTGTCAACAGCCAGGCAGTTCGAAGTGAATTACACAAGACATGAAAATACAGAGAGAGAAATGAAGACCTAGCTTCAAGCTGATTGTCTAATTTGTTGAGTTAAGCTCAGAATAATTTATTGCAGCATTAGGATAGAGCTGGAATCTGGCTTTTCGTTCTAATTTTCACACAGCTTTGATTGATTCACAGACTGAAGTGGCTAAATAAATCGACAGTTGGAGCACAGACAAACAAGCTGCTGTTTCTGAGCGTTCATCGCCGGGTTGCTGATTCCATCCTGCCCCCTCCTTCTGTCCCTATGTTTAAAGAGTGTGACCAGTGAGCCACCGCACCGAGTGAAGAAGCAGTGTGGCTCACTGGGGGGTTTAATAGCTGGTGGACAACAGTCTACGGCATAGGGCGATAAGCTGAACCAGGGTCTGGGCTCATATCACGGTGAGGACACCACATTCGCTGGTGCTGCTGGTCTCTGGATGGGGCTTGTGCACAGTAACACAAATGTACACACTCACCTGCCTTGTCTTTTAAGGGTCCTGGAGCAAGACACTGAACCCAAAAGAGAAAAGGTGTAAGTTGCTTTGGAGCAATGTTTCTGCCAAATAAATGCAATCTGTTCACTATTAGCTAATAGTATAAGGTTATGAAGAAGAGACAGTTTGTATTCTGCTAAATCTGCAGGAGGAGTCGGGAGACACGGAGGTAGTTTGTTGTCTCTGCAGGCTGGTGGCCACTGTATGAAGATGGTGCAAGTTGATTCCAGCCAACATGAAATGAAACGGGTACAGTTAGTTTTGTCTTTAGAAGTATGTAATGGGTTTTTGACTGGCAGCAGGGCTTTTGTGTGTTTTGTTTTGGTGTCTGTGAGCAGCCATTAACTCACACCGAGCAGCCTGTTGCACACTGTAGCAAACAATAAAAGGCTCTGCGCTGTTTGTGTTTTTCCCCGTTAAATGTCCTCAGTTTGCTCAGGTTGGGTTTTAGAGCAGAAAGCAGATTCTGCTGAAGACGAACGCTTTCCTTCCCTGATTCCAGCCTGAGCTTGAAGACATTTGGTTTTCAGGCTGCTGCTGTCCAGCAGCTCTCACTCAGCGCGGAGACATCGAGTCTGATACAAAGTAGAGCTGCAACGAGTTGATGAGTTCATCCATAAAGTCTCTGTCAGACTTTTGGTGGTTTCACTTTGCAGGTGTAAGTTCCTGCTGCTTTTCTTTGTCTTAACGTTGTTGTAAGCAGAGAAACTTTTGGGATGTTGGCTGTTAGTCAGACTACAGAGGGAAAGGGAATGGTATGTTTCATAGATCTAATGACTAATCGGCTCATTGAGAACACAGTAAACCAGTGGAGTATGAAGATGCCTGTCTACAAAGTAGCTCTTGTCTTGTTTTTGTACATGATCCCTGACAAATAAACCTAATGAAGCTAAAGCAAACAGGGCTGAGTATCAAACCACAGCGTGTTTTGGTACCAGCCTACATGTGTCTGCAGCATCAAGGGTGAAAGCTGAATATCTGGTCGGATTATTCAGCCGCTTTAATACTTCTTTATTCATATTGTTCCTGATTTAAATCAATGTTTTATCAATTTTTGATTCTAATTATCTTGGTAAAGTTCATGTTCTGTTATTGTTACAAACATGTTTATTTTTATTCCTAAAAATAAAGGATCAAGAAAAGTGCTTTGGTCGATTAGGCAGATCAGGTCCGTCGGCACTGGTTCAGTAAAAATTTAAAGCCCATTTCTTGTGCTAATTCAACAGGACGTTTTCAGAAAGATTTTCTTTGAAAGGTGAGGATCTTGACAGGTGTCGCTGTGCACTTTGTATCTGTGTGTTGTCTTGTGTCATCTACATCCTTGTTGCTGTGGACTAAAGAAAACTGAGGATACGAATGTCTATCCTGCAGCTTTTCTCGTCTGTGCATCAATGATCAGATTTACACCAGAAGGCAGAGGGAGAGGAGAAAACTGGGGCAGTGAAATCCATCATGTGCTGCAGTCTCCTGTGCTGCAGTCTCCTGGCAAACTGGTGTGAAGTAATCACACTTCACTTAGTCTTCACTCTCATCTTTCTGGTTTCTTTCTGCTGGATTAAATGAACATGTGGCACGTCAGTATTGACAGTGATACACGTGTGCTGTTCACCAGACTGAGCCAAAGAAGCAGCATTTTGAACTGGAAGCCAAAACCCAGAACTGGGGTTAAGGTGATAAAGATTTAAGGCAAGTTTTTGAAATGGGTGCACTTTGGGAAGGTGTGGACTTTTTTTTAGAAAGATGAATGGTTTTTGGAACGCGAGGACGTGTGTGTGTGTGTGCTCCCGTCTCCTTCCAAAGGGATTTTGAGGGTTCAGACTTGTCCCCACAAGGGTGCTTAAATTTTTGTACTAACATGCTACTGCTATAAAAGCAGCTTTTTTTCTGATTCCCATATAAACAACTGATGCAACAGGAAACAGGTCAGAGTGGTGGGGTCTAAAATAACCATCTGAAAGAACAATCCTGTCTCCTTTTATGTAGTGATAAATGATAATGGAGATTTCATTTGTCTTTCTTTGTGTCTGTGTTATACTTAGACTGAGAACAGAGTTATGAAGGTGTGGACCAACTGTAACACAGTTATTTCATTTTCACTGTTTGAATAATGAAGCTTTACTGAGTGATCAGATCTACCACAAAGTACGTTTTCCACGACAGAAGGATCCAAATTTTAGACTCAGTCGCACGCCATCACCTGTTCAGTAATACAGGAGCACACACAACTTGAGTCCATAAGTGTTCCTGTTCCTCCTGCTCCACTCTGGACCACCTGTCAAGGTCTTAAGTAGATGGCACTGCCCCAGGTGGCACCATGAGACCTCAGTGTGGAACTCAGACAACTTAAACATGTTCCCAGTTTACAGAACGGACTATGCTGAAGTCTTACAACTAAACGTAGACACGGTAAGGCCCAAGATCAGGCGGTAAAGCTCGGTCCTCTCCCCCATAATGCCCCTGTCATGTCACATGGGCCGTGTTTGTTCTGCAGGTTCGTGAACAAATGCTAACATATATACAGTGTTGATTCCTGTTTCTTTGTGTTTTCAGTCACAGATACTTCACTCCTCCTCCCAGGAAGACCAGGAGCCACTGACAGACTGGGTCCCAGCTCCAGCTAACCCCTGCCCCACACAGCCCGAAATCCCTGCTGCTCAACTCCCCCACCATCCTGATAGAAACACCACTGACCCCACAACCCAGAGAGGAGAGGATTCTGGGAAGAGACAGAGGAAGATGGGGCAGGAGAAGGGAGAGCCAAATGAGAGGAGAGGAGCATCCATCAGATCCCTGCAGCTCCCGCAGCCTTCCAAACTCCGCCTGTTCCTGACCCAGACCTCCAGACAAGCGTCCAGCTCTGGCTCTGCCTCTGCTGCCACCACCTCTTCAAAAGCAAGGGTGTCTAGCCAGCTTTCCAGCAATGCGGACAGAAGCAGAACTTTTGGGTTTAAGCTCAAAAGTCAGGCCTCCACCGTCAGCTCCTCACACCTCCCCAAGGCAAAGGGCCATTAAAAGAGCTGCTGGTCTCCGACACCACCCTCCTGACACAACTACGTGAACCCCCTCCAAGATTTACTGTGCTTCTACGCTTTGAGTATAATAGACTTGGTAAGCGGTAAATGGGGATGAAATATCTACAGTTAACTTATTTATTCATATTTTTAGCTCTGTGATTGATAATAAAGGTTCAAACACTTGGTAACACTTTACTTTACAGGCCTCTTGCAGTAGGCCAGGGACTTGACAGGCAGCTGTCAGCTCATGGGAATGTTCCTGCCCTTATGGGCGGCTGTTAAACACAACATTAATGGGCTGTTATGCTGCAGATCAAGTTGACAAAGTTCAAGGTTCAGGAGCAGTTCATGCCTCCTCTGCTGTCTTCTCAGACATCTCCCTGTCCTCTACAAGCAGGGAGGCAACAACACACGCTACA